AAGTTCGGGCCGCTCTCCCGTCTATCCTCTTACATCCGCTCTCGTCTTCTGCCGAGACGCACCCAGTAAGCCACCTCTCCTCCAGATCCAGTTCTCTAGATCCGTCCTCTGCACCACCTCCACCACAATTACCGGCGCCAACGCATCCTCTCTCCCCTCAATGGAGCGTCCGGATCCGTTCAAGGCATGGCAGCCGCAGAGCAACATACTCGAGTTTCGGTTATTGATAGAGACTGCACCGCGAGCGCCCAAGGGCCTCTTGCTGATCCCTCGTATGAAGGGGCGTTCTTGCGCTACATATAAACGAGCAGCGGTGCAGACAATGTGATCTCCTATGATTTTGCTTGTGATGTGCCCTTCGGAGCCGCAGCGGCGGTTGGGTGAAGCGGGGATGCTCACGGGTTACAGAAGTTCCGGTTCTCCGCCCTTCAGATGCTAGAATGCATGCCTGGCAGCTATCGGTGCTGCGATGGCAATGTGTACACGAACAGGTTTTGCAAAGCGAAGATGCGTAAGTCCAGCAACATCCTTTCTTTCCCCTCGCCTCTGGAGATTACACGGGGCCTCCACTCTCTTCAGGCAGGAGGGTTGGTGCTTCCGCCCAATCCACCGGGGCCAACCGGTCCTCCATCTCCATCTATGGGAGGCTTGAGTACACGGCCAGCCGCATATCAAAACCACGCCGCCGGCCTGAATGACCTCTCCTGGGGCTGCTCACCCTGCCTGAGTGGTGTTGACCACTTTCTTCAGTCTATCGTGGCGGCGGAACGGATATCTGCATCTTCGTTTCCGCATGACCTCGTCTCCTGAAGTAGATGCCGAGGCGGGTATGCTGACGGTAGGTAGGTCGTCTCCTCGAGTGAGGGTGAATCCCGATGTAGTTCATTCGGTCAGTACTCTTCCAGTTCAGGCAAAGCTTCCCCTTGCCCTTCCCAACACCCAATTCCGGCGCCTCGAACAAGTCCCGGCCTACCGTTCAATGGAAGGCCGGATACAGAGGCAAGCCGAAGATCAAACATCTGCCTTCGGGTCTTCGGACCCAGGGCGGAGCAACGCGCCGTTGTGCCCGAGGTGCCTCTCCTGTCTGAGTGGAGAAGGGGTTATCTGTTCGATTCATCACTGGCGGCGGCGCGGACATTTTGTGTTGCTCTCGTTCTACTATCTCGCTTCTTCTCATGCTTTCGTCAGCATGTGCCACGGTGCGATAGCTCATGCTGTGATGGCGACGCTGACGCTTGTGCAGGAACTGCTGCAATCCCCGAAATGAAACGTAAGTCCGGCAGTCCTTTCGTTTAAATGTCCGAGCTTGCGCCTCTTGTCACCCCGTCTCACTAGAGATACCTTGAAATATTTATTTCCCTCTGAATAGTCCCGGCGCTACAGAGAGACTCCACTTTCCCTTCAATGGAAGGCCGGATACCGTGGCGCCGTAGAAGAATACACTCTCTTGTCCTGGCTCGTTCTCTGGCCGGCCGTAAGGCCGGCGGGTGAGGAACCGGACGGGGAAATGCACCGTCAAAAGGACACTCTCCTGGGATTGATGACCCCGCTAGGTGGAGAGCCGTAGGCTACGGCGCTGACATTCCTCCCTATTGTTCTTGGAGCCTTGCGCTGGTGTGGCGGCGGTTGGGTGAAGAACTCCACAGTGATGTCGCTGACACTTGCACAGGGACCGCCGCGAGTCAAGAGCCGAGGGTAAGTCCAGCGCCAATTTCGTTTTGGTGTTCCAAGCTATCCACCACAGCATCACCCTCCCGCTATATTTGCTTCCGACTTTTTTTGGTACTTCACACACGCCCCGGCGCCGTGAACTGATTTCGTCCTTCCCCTCAATGGAAGGCCGGATACAAGGCAGCCGCAGAACAAGCACCTCCCTGCTCTGGTCACCTTCGGGCAAGCCGTAAGGCGGGCCGAAAGGTGAACCGGGTAGGGAGCCGCGCCGCAATGCCCAAGGACCTCCCTGGAATTGATTACCCCGCTGAAGTGGAGAGAGTCGTCAGCAGCGGCGCAGACATTTATGTAGATGAGTAGACTCTACTTAAACACAACTGAGTCTTCCGTTCGCTTGCTCCGTGTTCCTCATACTTTCATCACTCTTCATCTTTCTTTCCGTTTGACATAGAACACCGAGCTGGCAGCGCAACCCCCCGCCTTCCCCTCAATGGAGCAGCGGGTCGAGCGTAGCCTAGAGTAAACCCCCCTCCCGGTGCCCCCGCAAGGGAGCGCCGGGCGGGTATCTCGTTGCACACGCTGGGGGTGAGATACCACCACGCCGCCCCATTCCTACGTTTCACCGAGCCTCTCGCTAATCCCAAGCCGTGGAGAGGGAGCCAAGAGAAGCTGCAGTGCTCTTAAATTCGTGCGGGCGGCGTGGACATCCTTTCGCTTCGTTGTTTGCGTTGCGGCCTTGGTGGCAAGTGATGGACGGAGCAGCATCATGGGTTGGGCGGATTTCGGGAAGCAGTGAGTTATGGGTCTTGGTATGTTGCGGCGGGTTGGTAGCCAGTAAGAGTTCGCAGTGTCAATTTGAAAGACTTCCATTTCTTCGCACCGTCCGTCCATTCATTTCGTCTTCTATTCTCCTCAACTTCCGGCGCGCACAGCTTCTCGCCCTCCTAGGCTTGAGCAGACGGTTCAGTCCTTCAATGGCCCGACCGCTCCACGGGCGCCCAGATCAGACCTTCTCTCACTGGGGGTCTCTCCACATGGCATGTTCTTGAAGAGAAATATCATCCGCCGCCCACCGGACCCCTCGTCCACTCCATCGTCTGGGGAGGGAGCAGCCCATTGATACCGTCGGGAAGCCAATCGCTTTGAGCCTTGGGCGGCTGGATGAACATGTTTCGTTCAGTTTGCTTGTTGGTGTAATGACTTGATGATGTGGATGAGGCAAGTGGTACCGATGCTTTGCTGACTACTCGTTTCTGGTCGGGTTTGCAGTCCGGGTGAGTAGAGTGTAAGAGTTTGATGCGGATGTTTCCCGGTGAGGTACCATGTATATATAAATTCAGGTTCCAATCAATGGTTCCGTCCAGTCTACAATGCATATTCCATTTTGTTCTGACAGGGTTCCACGTGTGCCTGATGAAGTAATGCGCTAGTATCTTGACGGCTTCCAGGCCGATGGATGCCGTGATTCAACGTCTCCGTACCCCTTACCTTATATACAACCCGCAAGTACAGCCGTACAGCTGTTGAGTCACACCTGTGCTTACGCCCTTGTCAGGACACGGTGCATTGCACACTTTCGAGTCAGAAGACAGGCCTTCAGCGATACACCACATTCCAGTGGCCACTCGGTTATGTATGGCCGGTTGAGTGGAGAGAAAAACGGATTGGCCAGACCTTGAGGCTTCGGCGGAGACTGAGATGAACGCTGAACACTAATGAAATGAGCAGCAGGCTACGACATGTCGAAAGAGCCGCGGACTTCGAAGACATTGACGATGATGTGGCTGGCAAGAGCAACAATCAGGAGATAAACAGAACGCGGAGAACGTGCGTCCAGCGCGGCATCAGAGAAGACTTCGAGAAGGCATGAAAACCGGCGAAGAGACTCAGATGGATGTGTACCATTGCAAGGCGGTAAGTGAGCAACTTGACGGAACTGCGGCTGGCGCTGATTGCAACCGGGATGGAGCAGCTTTGATGTCGGAAACGGGGAAAAGATGAAACAGCCACAGCACGATTGAGGTTGAGAGGGCACTGACACCCCGAGTGACAGACAGACGACTGAGAGGCGGACAGAAGGTGATACCAGACCTGACGCTGAGGAAATGGTGCCAGTGCGGCAGACTTGAAGAGAGATTTCCACGGAGACGATGACAAAAGACAACAAGGAAAGTTGTACTTGAAAGATTGCACGCTTCAGCTTCGGCGGGGAGGCATGTTGATGGTTGGCTCGGGACTTGCAATTTGGAGCTGACGAGTACTCAAAGGACGGAATCCGAACTGAGATGATGAGAGGTTGCCAAGACTCGCAGCGAGAGAAATGAACGGATAGCCATTGGCAATCCGACTGGGACCGGAGTTGAATATTGACGAAGTGAACAGAGATCTGAACTTGGAGACACGGAGTCGAACGTGAACGACACTGCCCATGGGACAGGACGCAGGAAGAAGATGGTCACGCATACGGATCAAGAGATTGACCGTGAGGAAGAAAAACCGGCAGGACTTCGCGTTTCAGCTGAGGCAGAGACTCTGAAAGGTACGTGGATGGAACGACTTGGAGTTTGCAGTCCGAAGCAAGCGCCGCTGGCGCAGATAACAGTGCCTTCAGAGCAAGGCAAGAACGGAATACTGAGACCGTAAGAGATTATCATAAGCAGCAGTGAGAACGATCAGACCGGAGCGCCATAGGCAATCCGAAGAAACACTTAGATGGACAATCATGACATGAGAAGAAGCCTGCGAGCAGCCGGAAATGCCGTGGAAGCGAAACGAGATGATGATGAAAGAAGACCGTGAGAAAGTTGACTTCACATTATCGCGTCAAGACTCGAGAAGCGTGACGAAGAACGAGGAGGACTTAACGATTTAGCTGAAAGCCAAGAGATATGCCGTCTGGAAAAACGACCTGAAGGTGAGGCCTGAGGGAGTTGCCTATGATGCTGATGCGATGCCGATGAGGCAGGCGAGAAAGACTGACAGAAAGACGGCGAAGAAGCTGATAAATCAGTGACGGTGGAGGAATGAAGTAACCAGTGAGGTAGTAAGACGCGAGCTCAAGAATGTAGAGGAAGAAGAAGTTCACGAGGCAGAAGATGGAAAGCTCGATGAGAGGATCTTGACAAGGGCGAAGCTTGGACGAAGAGGGAAAAGACAAGTATATATTGGAAGGCAAATGATGCCCATTCAGCACTACTCCTACCAGGGGTCCGCAAGCATGCAACGTAAGCCTTCACGGGTCTCGCATATAGCCCGTTCCGGCATCCGGCATCAGGCATCAGGTATCTAGTATTCAGTCCTCCCACTTCTGTCATGGGTCCAAGCAGTACTCAATTCAGCACTCCGTTCTCCGCAGGCTTCTGCGCCCCCGCCGGCCTCACCATGACAGTATTCCTCTCCACGCCCTCACCGCCATACTTGGTCAAATCAAACACCGTCTCCTTAATCTCCTCAAACCCCCACCTCGCATACAGCGGCTTCCCCATCTCGCTCGCCTCCAGATAGACCGGTAGACCATCCTGGTCCGCCCTCTCGATGCCCCACCGCAGCAACGCTGCCCCCGCTCCCCGCCTGTAGTGGGTGGGGTGCGTGATCAATATGTTGAGCAGGTAGTGCGGCTGCGTGCCCATCGTGTCTCGTCGCGCATCAGCAAGGTAGACCATAAACGCCCTCTCGGCCTCGATATTCCGCCGGTCTCTATCGGGATCGTCCTCTTTAAGCTCCTCGACTGTCCGCTTGTCGCGCCAGGCCCGGTCGACGTCTTCTTCGCTCCGCGGGTGCCGGTAGATGATCCACTTGGCTGCGGCGGCGATCTCGCCAGTCGCGGTGTCGACAGCTTTGAGGAAGTAGGTGTTGGGGTCGTGGAAGGCGGTTGTGTATTTGGAGAGGAGAGACGCGGTGTGTGTGGGGGTTGGGGACCCGCTGAAGAGGAGGGAAGCCAGGCCGGTCGTGAAGGCGGCGTGTTGGATTGAGAGGAAGGCGGAGAGGTCGGACTCGGTCATTGGGAGGATGTCGAAGGCCATAGTGGACTGACGGTGATGCTGAAGTGCTTGGTGTTGGGCTGGAGGAGGTGGATGCTGGTGTGGAGGAATGGCATTTGAAAGAGTGAGGTTGCGGAGTCATTTTGGAGAGGCTTCAGGGTGCGGGGTTTGCCGCGCTGGGCTTCCGACAGAGACGACTGCGGATGAGTCTTCCCTCTGCGCAACCTCGTATTTGAAATCCAATTGCTAACGTTACAAGGAAGGTGCGTGTGCCAGAAGTGAGTCAAGACGATCGGGACCTGTTGCGAGGAAGACGCGACGAAGGTCTCCAGCATTCTCCGGCGTTTCCGCATCTCACGAAGCCGTTCGGCATGTTACAACACCAAGTACGCATGTTCGAAGAGGAAAGAGATGTGCAAGGTGTAAATGCAGTGGTGACTCAACCCGATAACAGATGGGCAACTTCGCTCGTGGTGCGGAGAAGATACGACAGAGCCGTCAGCTTTCCCGGTTGTCCCGGCATCTCAAGCAGTCATTCAAGACGTCACTGCAGCATGTACACAGATTGGCCATGAGAAAGAGGTATTTGTCTTTGTTCTTCAAGTTACAGCTTCTGTTTGTAACTTCAATCCCCTGTCTTATTCTACCTGTATGTAGTAAGAGCCTTAGGCCAGCATCTCCACAGCACCAGCCCCAGCCCGGAGACTCCGGAAGCTCCCTTTGTAGTCAAGAGACCTCCCACCGTCTACAATATGTTCCGGGAAGCTTCCTGTTTCTCCTGTCGGTTCGGTCACGTGACCTTGGACATGGCAGTAAGTTCAGTGTCCGCGTACTCCCAGCGCTTCTGCGGCACAACCCCAAGACTAGCGGTCAATAGCAGATTGGAGAAGACCCTTCCGCCTCGCATAATGCAGAGCTTTCCCGGCTTCTACCATCATTCGCGAATAATGCGTAAGCTGAAAAGGTTCGTCTGGTGTATTACAATGCTATTGTAAAAAGAAGTTTCTTTGTCCGTTTCAATAACGGCTTTTTGGTGTATAGCGCTACTGTACAGAGGAGACAATGCATTATAAGGGTGAAATTACAGCAGGAGCAGTTGTGAAAGCACCCAGAAGCAGGAGAGAGCTGCAGTTAAAAGGCACGCATGTCCAGCAATAGTTTCGATTCCTCAGAACAGTCCCATCGGCAGCCTCAACCACGTACGAAGTCCACCTTTTGCAGAGTCCCAACGCGTCTAAACCGTGCACCAACATAACAACACACAAACACACAAACCCAAAACACCGCACAGGAAAAGACGCAATGGGAAGCAGCAACGGTAGATCACCAACACCACCACAGGACTTCAGTGGTTGGCCTGCTCCGGCCATCCTGGGAGCGAACGACGACTTGATGGATGTCGACATGGCATCGCCCCTTAACTCACCGATCGTCCAGCCCACGTACGAACAAGTACTCGCAGCTACGGCTGGACGGTCGGTACAGGTAAGTACCAACCAGGACGACGGTGCTTCGGCGTTCGTCCATGCAGGTTCAGCAGACCTTACCCTAGAGGTCGCTTCACAGGACGAAGGTGTCCCGCCATCCCGCTGGGCAGGTTCCCAGTTCCAGGATGGTGAGGCACTGATTGTTTCTGAGGGGATGGAAGTGTTCCAGCCCGGAGCACAGGAGACTCCAATCGTCGTTGACAGCCCAGAGGTGAGCTACGCTTCACACTTCTTTTCGCCCGATCCGAACTTCGGGAACATCGGATATCCTCAAGCAGGATACTCCGAGTACGCTGATACCAGGCCCCCGCCCATCTGGGGTCGCACGACCCCTAGGCAGGTGAGTCCCGATGTAGGTAACCCCGATGCAACAAAAGTTCCTTTGTCATTAATCCTTAACTCTTCACCAGAGCAAGACACCGCCCAACAGCAGGTTACCGCCCCCAAGCAACTCATCCATCACACCATCCATCGAACACCAGGTGGATGGCTGCTCCAAGAGCCGGTTCAGCTCCCCCTGAACCAGGCCATCTATGTGTCATCCGACTCCGAGTCAGACAACGACTCCGAGGAAGACCAGGGGGAAGACGCGGAACAGGAGGACGCGGGGACGCAGGATCCTCCGTCTCCGCCAGCGAACTCCAGCGCGTCGTCCACAGACGAGGACACCGAAATGGAGGTCGATGGCCTGGACGTTATCCAGGCCTATTTTGACAACGGAACTGACCTCGCACCTTCCTCGCCAGAATTCGGCCCGCTCAGTTTCAGCACGGAGTTCGTAGACCACGACTCCGATGACGAGATGGAGGACGTGCCCCGCGACTCTGACGGCAACGGACTCACAGAGTGGGGCCCCGCGGACTGGATGAACACCGCGGAGAACTTCGAGCACACGGAGGGAGACTCGATGTACGACGGTCCTCCCGATCTGGCATGGATGAATGTCGTCCTTCCCGGCGAGCAGACCCACGGCGCGGAGTATGAGTCGGACAGCAGCGAGCTGACGGAGGTGGATGACGAGACACTTCGTTTCATGTGTCCCGTCAAGACTGACGCTCAGGATGCCCGCTCTGAGGACCCGAACGACGAGGAGCCTGAAGAGTCGGATGCGGACTCGGACGCGGACGCGGACGCAGAAGGCGTCGACGACGACGAGGTAATGCCCGTCGATAAGATTCTTGAGGAAGACGAAGAAGGGTATCTTCTGCAGTGGCCGGCCGACCCAGAGACCGGCAAGAAACCCAAGCCGACTTGGGAACCACACAACCACGCCACCGCTGCGCTGGTTGCGGAATGGGAGGAGAAGAAGAGGAACCGGGGACGGTACACTGAGTAGGTAAGTCTCCCTTCTCCTTTGGTCCTGCTGGATTTGCCAATTGCTTGAGATGATTTGGTCAGGGCGTTGGGAATAGAAGGTCGGCGTTTGGGATTGGGTGGACTTATGTAATGCGGTGGCAGATGATGCAGAAAAGGTAGAAAATGTAGAAAAATGTTGGGTGGTTCTCTGAACTATACTTCTGATTGCAGATGTGATATATGGAATGAAACCGTGACAGGAAAATGGAAATCATACTGACTGCCCAGGGGAAGAGCAGCCACCAGAGCGACTTTAAAGGTTGATCTACTCGCTGCACCACGGAAGTAGACAAAGAATGGGTTTGAGTCAGATGTCTCGAGAAGCTCGCAGCGGACACGCGGCGCTGAGACCGACACTGGGACTACCAAGTCTTACCCAAACATGTCTGCATCATTTGTTCCCTATCTTTCCAAAGGCAGCAGATACGAGGTGATGTTTTGAAGGTCGGCAATCGGGATATGAACCAGGTCACGTGATTCATCTCACATCCACGCAACCACCAAATACTGGCGAGCCGCTAGGGGGTGGGAGCGTAGAAACCCAGGCAAGAACAGATCAAGCGGACCATCGTAGCTGTTCGCTGAAGTCTCCCATTCAATGTGAACTGTGCAGTTGCTGTCACGTGATCGGACTTGCAAACACGCCTAGCGGCTCATCTTCAACATGAAAGAGAACTTGTGCGATATGCAACACGAGCCAGCTCCGTGTCTTCGGTCCCGCACATCAGCCCCATCTACCGCTGCTGCGGCGCATCCGTCGCCCTCCCCTCCCTCCCTACCTCGCCCCAGCTCCCCCCTCCCCTCCTCTCCGCCTCCAACCCTTCCAGCTCCTCCATTGCCTTCCTCTCCTCCTCAACCCACTAGTTTCCCATCTCCCACACAACTGCCTACCCTTCTTCCAACACTGCACCCACCTTCTCCCACCGCCCCTGCCGCCAACCGCCTCGATGATCCCCCTCAGCGACCCCAGCGTTTTCGGGTTATACCGTCCCATCAGCCCCGCGAGGTGTGCATGCAGCACCCTGAGAAGCTCCTCCGCTTTCGCGAACCTTGCCGCGCTTGTTCAGGATATGCGCCAGGTTTTTCAGCATCGCGTAGGAGGTTCCGAGCCGTAGGCCGCATGGTGATGGGAGAGGAGGGTGCGGTATGTGGCTTCTGCGGCTGTGAGATCGTTGAGGTCGGTCTGCACTGTGGCGAGGGTATGGAGGACACCGAGGGTGTCGGGGTGGGTGGGGTCGAGGATGGTAAGGTTTGTGGTGTGAAGGATTTGGAGGAAGGACTAGGTTGCGGCGGCGGGTGAGAGAGCGGGGTGCGCTGCCAGGTGGGTAGAAAGGGCGGTAAGATTGGAAAGGGGGAGGCGCTGGTTTAGGGCCATGAGGAGGTCGGGGCCGAGGAGGTCGTTGAGGTGGGACTCGAGTTCGGCGACCGGTTGGGGGCTGGATCCTGGAGTTGCCCATAGGGGGCTGGATGGAGTGATGAACTGTGGGTGTGCTAGATGTTGGCTACGAAGAGCAGCATCTATATGTTGAACTATCAGTCGAGGTCGAACCATTCTAACTAGTTGCTGGTTCTTTCCGCCTAGCTGAGTTCCATCTGAGTGTCTAGCTACCTAGGTAGCAAGGTTGCAACGGGGCATTCGGTCAAACGAACCCCGATGGGTTTTCTCCGCCGGCGCCCCAAGATATGCTGTTCGTGGAGCACTTAGTCAAGATATTCTTGCGGTATGTTCGAGAATAATGCTATGCGGTGCGCCTCTGGGCAGTAGAAGGAAGCTCAAAAGAGCAGATCCAGCCCATGCCAAGAGTCTGTGGTGCACGTGACCTATACAGGCAAGTATCAACTTTCTTGGCCGTAGCAGCAGCATATCCGTCGATTTCCTGTCAGTTTATAAAGATACAAGAGTTCGGAAAGTTATTGAATCTTGACTTTCTTTGGCATATAGGGTTTTTAGGGACAATATGGGAAGATCTTAAGCATCACGTGAGTTATTTGTTCTTTTCTTCGAGCGGGTGCTTTGGGGGCTCTCCCTATTCATATGATATGTTATCCGGTCCAGCAATCAGACAGAAGTGGAGACCCCAATGAAAAGATCTACGTTTTAAGCAGTGTTCGAGCACTCACTGGTTCGGATACGTTGAAGTCGATAGGCTTCAGGAGTGTATCCGCGGGTAGCATGCCACCATTCCAGCGTCTCGAGTTACGCCTCGACAGCTCTTACAAGGCACACAGAGAAGATTTTGGATGTAAAGCCAGTCGAGTTGCACAAGGCAGATTTGGGATGACTTGTAAACGAATGCAGACAGAATGTCCTCAATCAAGAGCAAGAGCTGGAGCATGTCGGAAGCATGGAGCCTTTGTCACGCAACACAGCCTTCAACACTGCCGCAGTCTACTCTTCACTCCGACTCGGCAAGGCCCACTCTGGTGTCTCTGATTGGGCATGCAACCGCCAAAGAACCTTGCTGCATTGCAGGTGAGGGGGCGGTGCATCCGCCAGACAAGGCTGAAAGACAGCCTCGTAGGCAGACAACTTACCGTCAGCAATGCCACTTCTGAGTTCTGACTTCTGACTTCACATTCAAATTGGCCCTCTCCGGCACAAACCGCTGTTGCTGTCGCCAACCATGATCCGCAAACTAGACGAAACGAAGCAGAACGCTAAGCGCCGGAAACTAAACCGGGACGCTGGAGGAGTGCCAACAGCTCAGCAAACGGGACCTATTCCACAACCGCTTGCACCGTCGAACGTGCCAACCCCATCGTCCACGAACCAGTTACAGTCTCAAAGCAATGCTTCAGGACTACCTATACGCATCACAGTGCCAGGGCTTTCGTCGGGCACCTCAACCACTCTCCCAACCACCGCAACCGCAAGTTCTGCTCCGCCAGATCTTTGGGTAAAAGCGCTGCAAACACTATCAACCAAGGAGCAAGCAGCAATTCTAAACCTGATACCTCCGCCATCCAATCCTACACAGCCCCCATCAACCGTTGTTGGCGAATTGTGTGCTCTTGCCGAGAAGAAACGAGCCGAGTGCGAAAACCGAGGCTGGAAATTCGAATACAAAGGACAGCAGATGATACTGCGGGATTTAGCGAACAAAGTGATCAACTGGCTCGACAAGTTCAAAGCGGCGGGAGATATCGTTGTAAACTACGATCCTAGCCATCTTGCACTGCCGTGGGCGGGGGTCAGATTCATACTTCAGGTACGGCTTGAATGTTAGACAGGTTAGGTTGAGAAGCTGACGCCTGCACAGGCAGCTGTGGCAGACAGCCAGCAAATGGGAAACCTACTTGTTGGCATGGAAAAGGTGACATGTCTGATGAGCCGCGGTACGATCTACGAAAACTTTTACCTCCATATGAAACACGGCACGAACCCGAATCAAGCTGTCAATAATCTGCAAGACGCGCTGGTAAAGCTGTATGCGAAGGTGTTGCAGTTTCTGGCAGGTGCAAACCGGCTATACAACAAGAACACAGCTTCCAGAGCCATTCATGCAATCTTAAATCCCGACGAGGTTCACGGCTTCATCAAGGACTGTCAGCCACTGGAGGACCGGGTAAATATCGAAGCAAGCAATTGCGAGCACATGTATACCCACGAGGCTCTCTCGGAGTTGGGAAAACAGATGAAACAACTACGCCAATTGCTCGATGACATAAACAAGCCGATCGTGCGTATTGATCCTAGGATCGCAGCGTTGTGGGATAGATCGAACGCGGATGAGCACTCTCAAATTCTTCTTTGGACCTCCGATATTCCGTACGAGGGGAATCATAAGACGGCGAAAGAGGGGCGCGCCAAAGATACGGGGCAATGGCTGCTGACGCACGCGAAATATTCTCGGTGGAGGAACTCAAGTGCTTCCATGATACTCTGGCTTCATGGTATCCGTAAGTAGTTGCTCTTCGACTTAATCCGAGAGGTTACTAAGCTAAGTTTCGCAGCTGGAGCTGGCAAGACGAAGCTCGCCTCGACAGTCGTTGATGATATGCTTAGTACACTCACTGGGCAGCAAAATGATGAAGCATTGGCTTACTTCTACTGCGACCGCAACCAGGCGAGCCGTCAAGAGCCTGTATCCGTAATGCGCAGTTTCGTGAGGCAACTTTCAACAGCTCGAACCGGTGACGCTATGCATCCTCTCCTTGTCCAGCGCTACCAGCAAAAGAGGCAGATAGGTTTCGCCTCTGGGCCACTGGACGCAAACGAGTGCGAGGATCTTCTGCTTAAATACGTCAATGACTACCCACACACGACTCTGATCCTAGATGCTCTGGATGAGTGCGATCATCGGACACGGAAGCATCTTATTGTCGCGCTCGACCGGATCGTTGGCAGCTCGTCAAAGCCGATCAAGGTTTTCATTTCCAGCCGGCCGGACTTGGACATTAGAGAGCGGTTTGAAACGGGCCCAAATGTGGGCATCCAGGCTACGGACAACCAGAACGACATAGCAAGGTTTGTAGATGCACGACTGGATGAAGACGACAAAAGTCGACGCAAGAAGTTTACGATCAAACTCAAAGAGGATATCCGCGACACACTTCTGGAGAAAAGTCAAGGCATGTAAGTATATCTCGTAGTGCTTCACCACACCAAACGGGGTTTGACTGAGACCACCTCAGGTTTCAGTGGGCGTCCTTGCAGATAACACAAATTCTGGAGCTGAGCCGTGAAAAGGACATCCGATGTCGCCTTGGCAGACTCCCGGAAGGCTTGACGAAAGCATACGACGAGATATGGGAAATGATGAAGAAGAAACCTGGAAGCTCCTTTGAGATCGCCGAGCGAGCATTCAAGTGGGTTATGTGCTCACGTACGCCTTTGTCACCGGACCTGTTAGTCGCTGCTGTCTGTCAAGATCCCGAAACAGAGAACATGGACCAGGTAGATGTCGACATCGACTACGTGCTTGCTGCCTGTAGTAATCTCCTAGTAATCGATCCTCAGCTGTCGGTGTGCCGCTTCTCGCATTTGTCGGTCCAGGAATATATCGAGAATCACCGGTTGAAGCCTATTCAGGCCGAAGACGTTGTTGCAAGAGTTTGTCTTAGATTGCTTTGCGACGATAGCATCAACAAGTCTGGCATCAAGCCCGCCGACTGGTCTTATCAAGAGTCCGCCCACTGGTCTTATCAAAAGTTCGGCCAGTACAAGATCTACAAAGAGCACCAAGACGACAACATCGAGAAAGGGGTGGAAAAGCTACTCAACTATGCAAGACTTTACTGGCCAAATCATGTTCAAGATTGTGAACAAGCTGAAGACATAGAAATGCTGAGCGCAGTCCTGATGAATTTCCTCGGATCTATGAACGAAAGCGGTGCTGCCTATAGAGCATGGCATACGGCCTTGCTTGGTACGCATCAGGAAGAAGTAGAGAGATGTCTAGGATGGGAAGTAGTTTCGAAGCTGAGCCCGCCGTCCTCAGCCGCGTTTGCAATATGCTACTTCGGTCTCTACAGAGTGCTGTCGGCATGGTGGGACGTAGGCCTGATTGATAGCAATCAGTGCAACCTCGAAGCCGAGTCTCTGCTAGCTCTAAGCGCTGCAAATGGCTTTCTGCCCATCTGTCGGAGATTGATTGAACTCGGAGCAAACGTCAACTCTGGGAATGAGGATAATTTGACCGTGCTGCATAATGCTTCGTATTCGGGTCAAGAGGAGATCGTCGAGCTATTACTCGACCACGGCGCTAACGTTAACGCTCAGAGTGAAGATCATACCACCGCGCTGTATAACGCTTCATTAACCGGCCACGGGAAGGTCATCGAGCTATTACTCTACTACGATGCCGACGTTAACGCTCAAACTGAACGTCATACCACCGCGCTGCGTAACGCTTCACTTAAAGGCCATGAGAAGATCGCCGAGCTGTTACTCGACCACGGCGCCGACGTCAACCATCAGAGTACATATACTCATAACACCGCGCTGCATATTGCTTCATTGGAAGGCCACAAGAAGATCGTCGAGCTGCTACTCAAGAAGGGTGCTAATGTTCACGCGCGAGACTGGTTGCATCGTACCGCACTGCACGAGGCTTCGGAGAGAGGCCACACGGAGATTAGAAGGCTGCTCCTGGATTGGGGCGCCGAGGAGGTGATAGAGGAGAGCTCGTCGTCTGACTATTCAGATCTCAGCATGGATGATGACGCTGATTGATAAACGGCGACCACGTCGTATACTCTTTCCAACTCTGGGCTTAAAGGTCCTCGTAACTCATTGATGGATGTTCTTCAACCTTCTATACCGGTGTATCCCGGCAATGATTTCCGGCGCCATCGAACTCCGCGCTACTTAAGCTCGGTATCCTTTATCATGGTATCCCAACAAGTCTGGCTCTGAGAGAATCATCGAACCCAGCACCGCGGACCGGATCCAACGGATAGCCGACTTCGGAAGTTCCATGGCTATACTCCACGATGCCCGCTTCCGACATAGATAGCACAACAAGCACTCCACGAAGATTTCTCCAGCTGATGGTGACGAGATCTATCCAGGCCTGTGGTATCCCCGCAACGCCTGCCAGATGACTAGATAGAGCCTGCAAATCCAGTCATCGAGCTCACGATGCCGAATCCCCAGGGGCAAATGCAGTAGCAAGATAGTATGAAGTATTGGCGCTTCTCACCTTTACCATAGGAATCCGCACCATCCATCCCCTCAGCCCTCTCACGCCCTCTCCCACCGTGTCTCAATTCCCCTCCCCATAGTATCCCATCTCCCCATGCAGTAGCATACACCACAGCATCATCACGAGTTCACACCACATTCACGCACGCAGCAGGACACAGAGAAATCAGCAGAATTATTACCCCATCTCCCCCCAGCGGGAGGAACACCTCCCGCGCGCCACGCGCGCCTACCACAAAGCCATGTATCCTACAACCGCCCGCCACGCGGGCCCCCACCCCTATCTCACCCCACCCTACCCCCACCAAGCACCACGCCATCCCACCCCGCTCCACCCCCCCTAAGCCCGCCTGAACGCCGCAAGGCGCCCCGCGAGCTTCACCCCCAAGCCCGCGAGGCGCCGGCCGGCCTCCGCCTGCGCCGCCGCCGCCGCCACCCTGGAAGCACGGCGCTCGGCCTCGTGCTCGGTGTGCACGGCAGCGACGACGGCGCCACCAGCGCGAGCGTAGTCGGAGACGTGGTCGTTGACTGCGCCCGCCGTCGCCGAGGCGTGGGAGATGAGGCGCTGGTGGAATTGCGGGTTAGCTGGGGACTGCGAAAGGGTGAGCAGGGGATACGGCTTACGTGGCTGATCGCCGTGAGCTGCTCCAGGATGGCGACCTGGTGCGCCTGCAGCGAGCTGTCCCACGCCATGCTCTCAGCCTGGGCGGTCGAGGAGACTGCGGTCGTGGACGACGAGGTCGTGGAGCTGCCCTGTGATTCTCCTACAGCACCCTCGAGCGTCGCATCGCCAGCCGTCTCATGCTCCTCCGGTGCGTTGCTAGGTGGGGCGGGATAGAAGCAGGCCGGCGCGGAGGCGGATTCGAAGCGCGGGTTGGGGTTGTAGGCCATCTCTTGCTGCATCGTCTGGTGCACACCAGTCTTCTCCCTTATGAGCCTGACAAAGGAGGTTTCGCCTCCAGGCATACCATCACGTCCTAATCCCATGCTCGGGCCCCTGAAGGGATCACTTTCCCTGCGTTCTGCGCTGCGCCTAGCGACCGTCTCGACTTCGTACTCGCTCGCATAGCCCGAGATGGCGCGACTCTCTGCCTGCGGGGGTTGGGGGAGAGGCTTGGTGTTGCTGGACATGACGTGCGGGAATGGCTCCATGTTGATATTCATGTTCAAGCTCGTGGTTCTGGTAAGAGTTGCGTCCATAGCAGAGTTGGCGGTTGTAGTGAGAGCCGGGATGTCCGGGTTGCGTACGCGTAGAGCAGTCCTATAGTCCTGCTCATCCACTTCACTGCCATCACAAGCGACGTAAGGCTTGAAGGGAGACGACACGCTGCCATGGATGTGTGCCGGCGACGGGGAGGTAAGGTGAGGATAGCCATGATCCTCATACACCGAGAAGGTAGCGCCCTCATGAAGATCGGTGCCACCGCCAACGCCCTCCATGGTCTCGACAAAGGCGTCAAGTACGCCGGTTGGCGTGTTGTTCGCCGTGCGAATCAGCGGGATGGGGCTGCCGTTGCGGTCGACCTTGTGGGCTGAGCCGCTACGAGGGGCAGGCGTGTCCCAGCGAAGCCTGTTCGCAGCTGTGATGGTGTTGTCGAGCACAGACGTGTCCATGTCGTAGACGACGTCCTCGGGCGTGTGAGGGGAGATGCGAACTTTCTTCGAGTCGCGATGGGCAGTCTGGGGTGTCGACGCGGTGCGCTGAGTGGTATCACGCTTGCGTACTGTTGCCAAAGATTGGATGGCCTGGTTGACGCCTGAAAGATCCTCAGCGGATGTGTGCGTGTTCAATGCCGTGACGTTGAAGATCCTAGTAGCAGTAGTTGGGGCGGAGCGAGTGGTGGAAGAATTAAGGCGACTCTTGAATGCTTGCGAGAGACCTGGATCGATAGCAAACGAGATGGTGGGCTGTTTGGTGGTCGACAAATCGATCAAAGCTGCGTTGGTGCGAGGAGCGGTGACGTTGACCATCCTCGCGACAGCAACTTGATCTTCGTGAGCGTCAGAATGCTCATCAAGACTGCTGCTGAGAGACTTCGAGATATTGTCATCTGCCGACGACACATTCATGCCGGGGATATTCTTCGAGGGATGGAAGATCGCAGCTCCAGGATTGAGCATCTTGGTGTTGACCGTTTCTGTGACAGCAGTGTGATCAGCGTGAGCTTCAGAAACCGCCATGAAAGCGCCGCTGAGTGCCTCCGAAATGTTACGATTGACGATAATAAATTAATGGTCTTTCTAGCGCTTGAGAGTTCGGTGACAGTTGCTTCAGTTCCAAGAATCGTTGCATTGACTACTTCATTGGCTGGAAGTTGCTTACTGTGAGCTTCAGACATCCCACCAACCGCGCCGCCAAAGGACTTCGAGACGTTGTCTTCAACCTCAGACGGATTGATGCTGCGATGAGCAGTTGGAAGATCGATGATCGCCGGTGTAGCACTTGCGGCCGTGATGTTGACCGTTTCAGCAGTCATGGTCGGATCTTCGTGAGGTTTAGCAGTACGATGAAGCATGCTTCCAAATGCCTCTTGAAGATCCTCCCCAACCTCCATGAGATCTGAGGTAACTCTCGGATCAGCCATTCTTGCTGGAGCTGTAGAGCTTGTCGTATGCAATGTGTTCGTTGATTTCGGGTTTTCGCTGACAGGATGTTGTGATGCAGTTTTATCGTCCCGTCGGGCGAGCATTCGTTGTTGCGAAGGCGAAGGAGTCTCATTGGTGAACGGGCCATCCACGTGATCCTCCATCTCTATATCTGAAATAACGGGAACATCATCAGCAAAATGAGCATCATTAGTCTGAGGACGATTCATACCTGGATGAGCATCTACAGCTCCACCGTCCACCCTTCCGTCCCTCTTTACAACCGGCGAGCTACTTCTAACAGCACTCAAACCGGCACCCTGGTTCCGCGGTCCACGGCGGTCGAACGCAATGATCGACTCCTTGCGAGCACGAGCGGTGTCAATCAGCGGATTGCCAGACGCACTTCTCGTAACCCTCCTCGCAGGATCGGGTGCTGACTCAGGAAGGCGAAGCTGATGAGGTTGAACAGTTTGTGGAACGGCGGCCGGTGGCTGCTTGTCCTCCTCTAGATCAGACAGGTCTGTGAACTCGTCGTCTACAGGCGGATCGGAGTGGATGTTGATCGCGTTGTCTAGGGATTCGCCAGCATCGGCAGGCGTCTCAGCAGCGCTGTTGGGTGTTGGACCAGCAGTCTCAGCTGCAGCTGGGACGGCAGGCGCACTCAATCCACCGCCTGGTTCTTCGTCGGCCGGCAGCGCCAGCACCTCTTCTTCGAACGCTTCGTAGGTCTCGTGGGGAGAATCGGAAGGGTGCGTATAGGGTTTCGCGGATCGATGCCTTCGTGCTTCGACTGTCATATCGGGCGCCGCCGCCGACCTGATGACACGCTTCATCGAAGACGCAACAGGAGCCGGGGCCGCTTGGGGGCTCTTGTAATCTACATCCATCACGTCTTCCGCGTCAGACTCGACGGCCGGCTTCTTCGACTTTGTAGCAGCTCGCACAGTCTGCTTGCGTGACCGTCTGGAGGATGCAGAGGACGATGACTTGGGCTTCGGCTTGGACTTGGGCTTCGCAATACCTTTCTTGGTAGCACTTTTGCTGACAGGCTTCTTTTTTGTTGCAGGGCTCGTTGGCATGTCGTACACATTAATTTCTTCGGAGGGACCATCTGATGCACCCGCAGCTCTTTTCGAGACCTTGGGCCGCTTCGCTGCTGGAAGTGTAGCAGGTGCATCAACACGAGCTCGTTTGGTGCTTGGAGTGGCAATCATTTTGACATCTGCGGCTCGGCGGGATCTCGCTTCCTTGAGCGCCGTCATGGCTGCACCTGGACGTGGTGCTGGTGCCTCTGAATGGACCCTTCCGGTGCTAGGGGTGGCAGCTGCTGTACGGCTTGCGGCTGAACGAGATGGCGTTACCCTGGGTGCCGTAGCCTTCTCGGCCGGAACGGTCGGCGACAGCACCAAGTTCATTCTGTCCGAGGAAGGTTCGTATGCTTCGACGTGCGCCTCCGCAGGCTCCGGACTGAGCCGGTGAAGAGATTGCACAGGATGAGCTTCGACAGGTACAGAATCCGGCACGATCTGAGACACAAGCTCGGCAGCCTGTTCTTCAGAACTTGGAGCAGCAGGCCGCTTGCTCACATCCAGCGTCTGAATAGTCGAGACCTTCTGGCTAGCCGGCATCCGCTGGCACTCGATCGCAGCGACAGCCTGCGCAGCGACGTCGGCATCGCGCATCGCTATCGCGAGCTCGTTCGCCCGTTCTTCGGCGGCGTTAAGCAGGTACGACCACGGCTCCCTGGACAGCCCGAGCACAAGCTCATTCTGAGCAAGGTCGGTCGCGTGGCCTGAGTCGGTGTTGATCTGGGTCCTGCGGATGATGATACTCGTCACGTGCTCGAGGGGTATGTCGATGAACTGGGCGAGGCGGGTAGGAGACTCCGGCACGATGAGGGTGATGCCGCGATCGACGATGAGTAGTATTGGGCCGTTGTCGTTACTGTAAGCAAGATCCTCTGCAGTCCGGATGCCCATGGCGTAGAAGAGCTCGGAGGCGCTGTAAGCGGTGAGCGAACGCGTCAACTTCCTGGGATGGCACGTTGCTTACCTGCTAGACTTGTGTTCAGTCATTTCGTGAAGGTCGCCGACGAAGTCCTGAAAGTTCTCCGTCCACTCAGGGCCAGAATGCGTGGGGAATGTCGCGGACGAGTCCCCTGCTGGCCAGCGATGTGACCAGAAGCTGGCGACGGCAACGCCTGCGAGGGCCATGGTGCGGATGATCTTGCCAGCTACGAGTCGAAGGTCTTCTCTCTCCTCTTCCACAATCTTGCCGATTGCCTCACCGTATATCGCAGACATGCGACGGACATCGTCGCCCCTTAACAGAGGAACACATCTTTCCAGTAACAAGCCCACCCAGCGGCGCATAGCCTGTGGCTTGTCCGGAGAGACAAAGTAGTCTACAAGCCTTCTTGCGATAGTACTGCACACTGCCTGTCGTACCTGGGCGTCCGTCCCCTTGATCAATGACTTCAACAAGTTGTAGACGCCGCGACATGACTCCTGGTCAGATTTTGCGAGCAGAGACTCTAGCTCACGAACATAGCGAGCGACAGCCGGCTCTGAATCCATATCCACAGCGCCGACCGAGGTATCGAACAGCTATAGTGATCGGTGAAAGGGGGACGTAGGGTGAAGTGCAGTCGGGTAATGCGCGGTCACGAAAGTTACACGCGGCACGTGAGAGGACCCCTGTTCGAGTCCCTGAAGTTGAGAACAACGAGGAATCTCGGCTCAGACATCTGCCTGATGACTCCAGCGGAAGCTTTCGGAATGCTTTCGTCCGGAAAGCTGAGTGCGAAGTTGGCATGAAGAAGTGATGAAAAGCAGGGGCGAGGCACGTGATGTACTCAAGAGTAGAATCCTTGGAGGACATGCCGGCGGACTGCAATTTTACAGCGGGCGGGGAGATACCCTTTGAAGAAGACTGAGTTGCCTGAAACAGTGGTGTAAGTAGTCGAGTAGCCTTGTTGTTACGAGTGACTGCGCGTAGGTCGTTCGTCCGCTGAATGCGTTCCGGAAAGAACCACGGGCTGGGAAACAGAGCACCACTGTATCAGAAACAAACGATGTCGCGCGCGGTCTACCTTAGTGACGATTGAAATCATGTAGTTGACGCTTCCGTGAAAGGCGATGATTGTGACTGCGACAGCGACGATAAATATAGACTATGGGTTACAGGCGCCTACGCCATACAGGAGGCAGATTTGGTGAACAGAAACAGGAAGGCCTGTGTGCTGATAGATAAGTTAGGTATTCGTGTGTCAAGAAGCTTCATAAATGTTCATAAAGCGGTAGCGGTCATGGCCTTACCTCACTCAACGCACTCAACGCCGCCGCCATTTCGCTGAAATGCAATTGACACGTACACCGCTCACACGCAGTGCACACCGCTCAAGCTCGCCCATCAGCACTTCTCAACTGCACTCTCCCCCTTCCGCCACCGCTTCGAACCTCTCCTACGCTCGGCACAACGCTTACACCCCTGCCTCCCATCCCCATCATCCCCGTCATCCCCATCCCCATCCCCCTCAACAGTCCTCTCCCCATCCCCAAACAAGCTCCTAAAAAACCCATCATAACTCGCCCAAACCCCCCTAAAAACCGCCCCCGTCAGCGCCCTCAACCACCCCGGACTCCTTCCCTGCTCGTCCTGCCACACCTTCTGCAGCCCAAAGACAAACATCACGAACGGCATCCACAGCGTCAGAAACACGTACGCGCCGAGGCGCTGCTTGTTCGAGGTTATCGTGTAGGGCTGCAGTGTTGAGAGCCAGGTCTGGTACTCGAGGGGGAGGTCGTGCTCGCGCGCGCCGTCGGTTATGAGTTTTAGGTATCGCGCTGAGGGCTGTGCGTATGAGGGATCGGGGCGCCGTACGCCGCCGCCTTCTTCGGGCGCGCCGTCGGGCAGGCGGGGCGCGAAGAGGGTGTGCGCGACGAAGGACGGTGAGGTTGGGATGTCAGGGACAGGGGCGTCTAGGTCAGGGGCTCCGGACGTGAGAGTAGGCAAAGGGTGGCACGGTATCAGGATGTCCGTGTAAGAAGAGCCTCCGCCTTCGGTCGCGATGATGTGGGTATAGTCCTCCGGGGTCACTTCGTAGACTATGCCAATGAGGCCTTTCGTCCAGGCGTCTTTGTTGTAGGGAGGTTTTCGCCTCACTGCGTCTGCGGCGGCAGCCTCAGCCGTTTTGGACGTCCCGCGGTCTAGGCCTGTATCCTTGGTACTGCTGACCTCGCCGCCTCGTACCAGCGGCGTCTTCTCGCTGGGATCCGTCTCGCTATTGCCCACGTCCTCCGCTGATGGTTGTGCAGGATCCCGCCGTCCACTATTAGCAAAACACGGCTCCGCGTACGGCAGCCCGGGCAGATCGAACGTCAGTCGCAACCCCGGGACCTGCACATTGATAGCGCTGAGCGGCCGTATACCCCGTCGCCCCTGAAACGTCTCATGGCAGAGATTCGAGCCGTAGGCGAGGTAGAGGACTGTCCCACGCTGTTGTTCCGGGAGAGCGGCGCGGGCGGGGTGGAGGCATGGTGGGGGAGGTGCGCGAGGGCGTTTGGAGGTGGTGGTAGGAATGATGGAGGAGCCTAAGGGACGCAAGGAGGGTGCGGAGGATGGGAGGTCGGAAAGGAGGCTCTCGCGGAGGCGGGTTGACGAGGCGGACGCGAGGTCCTCGGCGGTGGTGGTGGTAGGCATGTTGGGTTGAGACATCAAAATCTAACTGCCAGCCTCTGGGACGGGCAGCTGTACAGCTATACGCGAGGGTAAGGAGAGCTCTCTATATATCTATGGTATCGTACAAAGAAAGAAGGTGGTGATTACCTGATGTTCGGAGCTTCGGGGATGCTTGGTAATGTCGGGGCTTTTCAAATCCGACCCCAGCCCTGCCAAGACTCGGGAGAACGCGACTCGCCCCCGAGCAGCTCTAGGCGAAGCGTTTTATTTCTCTTTTCTTTCGATGACTCTGTTGCTAAATGGAAGTGATCTGAGCGCGAGATGCGTGTATATGTACGAGTATATAGGTTCACTTCACACCAGCTTCATGAAATACCACACCAATTCCAACCCTTGTTTGCGTTTAAGTATCACCATCACCATCCCTGCAGCAAATCTATGTGTACCATGCCACGCTAGGCAACAGCGCACTAGCAACTCCTGGCCCCATTACGCCAGAGCTCGAGTACAAAGTAAGCAAGAACGGCGAAAGCCAGCCGCGTTGAGCCACACCCACGCCACCAGCCGTTTGTGCATCAGCTACGTTTCCTCACTTCTGTCCCTGCAGAGAATTTCACACATCATCACCACAGCTCCGCATGGCTTCGTCCGTACTGACTAACCTTCTTGGCGCGTAATTCCGGTCGTCGGCTAAGACTCCCGAAGTGGTGGTGTACTGTTGCTCACCGACGGACTACGGAACGGGCTGCGGCTTGGTCTTACGGTCGGATTGAGCCAGTCAGTATGGTATCCAGAAGCGAGCCAGGGCTGGACAAGCAGAGAATTCGGACGTGAGACGTCATAGAAGGAAGATGAGTGTACAGTTTACGGCATGATGCAGAAGCGGACAGGAAATTCAAGACGCGTCGAGGACGGACTCATGCAGAGCCTCCAAGACACAACGCAATAAACGGTCTCAAACGGGATGTGCTTCCAGCGCATCTGCTCCACACACACCGCACAAGGTCATCCCGAAGAGCGCAGGAACAGCGGGAGAAGAATGGGAGAAAAGCGGTAGCAAAGCGAGAACGAAAAGCAAACTCACGACCCTCCGCCCAGCTGCTGCTGTCTCTTCTCATTCAGTAACCGGAGCATCTCCTTGCGGCCTTTGGTAGCGTCGAGTTCTCTGCCGGCCATGGACATGGTGACCTTTTCGCGGTTGCCGGCTTGGAGGAGGCTGTAGATCAAAGCAAAGGGTCAGTTTCTAGAACTGGGATTGGAACTGCGGTAGGTGAGAGGAGTGACCAACCACCCATCTTCGAGATGGGAAGCACAACTCACCGCTTCAACAGCAAATGCTGCATAAGCAAACACACAATAACCCCACAATCCTCCCCATTCATTTGCTGCGGCACATCCTGCATCTCGCAGAACTTAAGCTCCTTCCCGAGCATCTGCTCCACCTTGCGCGTCACGACTCTCGCAGGCTCCTCGTTCGAGTGACTCATCGAGTCGTAGTGGAAGGCGACGCCGTCGATCAGTGAGATGAGCAGGAGCGTCCAATGGCAGCCACCGTCAGCGATGGCGGGGTTGGAGGCGCCGTCGGTGATCGGGAGGAAGATATGGGTTGTGCCCTCGGGGATGGCGAACTCTTTCTGCGCGTCACGAGTCAGTGGTAGAATGGAGCAATGTTGACGGGGCTGGCTGGGCGGAGTGGATGCCTGAATCCTACCTTCAGCTCTTCTACGGGCTCCTTCGACATTAGGATGTACCCTGATATGCTCGGCGCTTTGAGTTCGATCTTGGCTTCTGGGTAGCGGGAGAGCTTTTCCTGCGTGAGGTAGCTCCAGCGAGTGTCAGCTTAACAATAAACTTGAAGCAGAGCATCATGCTTCGAGCATGGGAGAAAGTCGGGGACGGAAGGGAATGGCATACGATGCCCAGAATGCGATAGCCTTGGCACTCGCTCACGGTCAGCCGCAAGCTCAAAATCGTGGCCGGGAGTGGACTTCAGACATCGTCGGTCAACCAGCCTTGCTTGATGCTGTCGACGTCTTCTTGCCGTACTGGCGCGCACTGCATGAGTACGTGTCCGGCTGAGGGAGTTTGTGCTGCGGAGGAGTCTCACACGTTACGTCGGGATCTGTGCAGATATAAGTATGGCTACAATAATCCTCTCCAAGATAATGACCCACTACGTACATTCGAGGTACTTGTCTCCCGGCTTCAATGAGCTCTACATGCACCACATCAGTCCCTGAATTTTTTCTGCATATCTTCTTGACAGCGGAATAACGGGTATGGCGCTTGAGGGAATGACAACGAAACCAAAGCGCACTTGGAATGTCGAGAAAGGAGATGCGTGCGAAAGACTATGGTGCTGGATACGGCTTCCGACAGCTCGGGAGCAGACATACCCGTCGCCCATGCAGCAGATCCGAGGCCTGGTCCTTCATGGCATGAAGTGACGGCATCTTCGCTCAAGGCTTCGGCGCTCAACAAACAACTCCGCCGGGATTACAAGAGAGGCAAGACAGATTACTCGAACAGGAATCTACCGTATAGCAAGGAGCGGTAATCCTGGAAACCTCACAGCCAGCGGAATCGCAACCGCGGCTACGTCACGAGCGCGTCTGGGCGCGGATCAATTCGCCCGCCGAAGCTCCGGCGCAGCTGCCGACAGCAACATCGCGGCTCTCCGCTGAGCTCGAAGACGACAGCACTACTCAAGCCCTTCCCTCTAGACAAACACAACAATCGCCGCAATGGGTGTCCCTTTCGAGGCATTGTTGCCCTACGCCATCATGCTCGGCGTGAGTCGTCCCGCGCCTACCACACAGCTCCTACGTCCCTGCACAACCGCGGCGAGGATACAAGCTCACAACACGCAATGTAGATGTTCGGCTTCACGGGCGCGGCATTGAGCAAGATTCGACACATGCAGAATGGCGGGAAGAGGGCTAGACACTCGATCGATCAGTGGGATAGGGTATGCCGCACCTCCAGCCCCGTTTACTCGGCGCACGGGTTTTGAGACGGTAGCTGACAGCGTTGTAGCAAAGTACGGCTCTTCCACTCCCTTCGCTGCTTCCTGCGCAGCGCTTTCATCTCACCACCGCCTTCCCTCTGCGCAGCCCACCACACAAATACCGAGCGCAGCCCCGCTCGACGGACACAACGCTGACAAACACAGTGATGGACCGCGACCGCCGTCTAACAGGCTTTCTCCGCGGGCAGACAGACAGAGTAGACGCGCCACCGGGCTTCGAGCTGAACAATCCCTGGAGAGTAAGCTTGACCTGCAGACACGGCACGATGATCCGAGGGGACGGGGCTGACGGGGTGGCAGGTCGAGACGCGGATTCTGTAGGGTGTGGGGCGCTCAATACTAAGAGTTGCATGGCTTTGGTCTTGCACATTGTTGTTGAGTTTAGGGCGCCATGTGTTTTGTGTGAGATCTATGATCCGGCCATTTGCTACGTCACGTGACTTGCACAGAACAGCCCGTTCGGGGAGCTGCCGCCACCTCCCCTAGTCTGTTGCAGAGCTGTGAGAAGTAAGTCTTTCAGAGGTAATCATCGACATGACAAACATCTTAGCTTTTGAGTGCCGGTCACTGTTTTTCCCCAAATTCATCAATGAAACAGTCATGAAGTTTCCTGTATGTGGTGCGGATCAATGCTCAGCTGCTCGTTTAGCCCACGTTCTGATGCGGTAATCTTCTCCCTTCTCCAAAATGCTTCTCCCTTTTCCACTCCAAAATCCAAAGTCACGTGAGCTTCCAAATACAGATTTCCCAGCCGCTGCCCCCTTGGTCTAGGTATCCTCAATACAACATCCCGCACGCATACCCTCCATGCCACCGAAATCGATCCTGATCGGGTGATGCGGGGGCTTGGTGTTGGTGGGCGCGTATCCCGAACTCCTGCGTCATAGATGCTTCAGTACTGGTGACCGGAGAAGAAGGCGGAGGGTCAGATGACGGAGGCTGGAGGCTGCTAAAATCGACGTTGATGAGGTGCGGCGGGCCCGGGTTCCTATTCGCGGCCGCGATTCCGCCGCTGTTGTCCATGGGGGTTGGAGTGCTGGCTCCGGAGTTAAGGGGGCCGCTCTTAGCCCTGGAAGCTGGTGGCGTGATTTCTACGCCGTGGAAGTCGATGTCGATTAGGTGAGGCCGCCCTGGGTTCCGTGTCTTGGTGGTTCTGGGGCCGGGTGAGGGGGTGGAGGCATTGAGCCTGGGCCTGAGATTGAGCGGAGAGGAAGCGAATGAGCCTGCGGCGGGGTGAGGCTGCGGTTTGTTAGGCTTGGGGACGGCAGGAAAAAAATGGAGAAGGGAAGGCGTACTACCGCACTCTCGGCGGGAGGTCGGAGAGAAACTTGGGCATCGCTGTACGTTGAAGCATGTACGGCTTCAGATGGTAACAGAGGCTCTGATGTCCGATGTGTACTTAGCCCCGAGCTTCCTGGAGAACCCCCTTGCTGCTCAAGGCCGCGGTCCGGTTGATCTTTAGTCAAGGACTCAATCAAAGCCTCCAGCTCCGTAACTCGCTGCCGGAGGTTCTTCCGCCGGTCCGGAATGAGGGCGGTCTCGGCATGCTCTTGATTGATGCAGCGTGCGCCGTGGGCGGAGCATTGGGTGCAGACGGAAGGCTGGGCGGTAGGGAAGACGCAGCGGATCTTGCGGCGGCGGCCTGAGGGGATATGTCAGGGGGGGTGGTTGGTATGGGAGGCTTCGGGATGAAAAGATGATTCTACTGAGTACGTGACGGCAGTGACGGACTTGGAGATTGTATTTCGTTAACGGATGAAATTTGAGGTACGATGATGCTGCATTAAAGTCCTGCCGTTTCCTCCTTGACAGGTGAAATGAACCAAGTAAGACCATCTCAGCTTAGCCATGCGATCAAGGCTACACAGCGTCGCGATTCAGAAGCCTGTACGCTCCGAAGAATACTCTGCGTCACGTGATTTTCCATACCAGAGCAATCCTCCTCCAATGCAAAGTCCGTGTACGCCGCAATCTGGTGGCATTACAGAGTAAACAAGTCACACATACACTCAAAGCAGCTCCGGGTCCCTTTCCGCATTCTCTTCCGAGTGCCCAGCGCAGGCGCCTCCCAGGATATTTCGTGGGGCATGTCGCGGGGTTGGAGGCCGTAACGGTGGTTCAGCAGTTGAGAGCAGAACAAAGGGTATGGAAAGCGAGAGAAGTTCAATGGAGGAGAGTGAGTGGTAAGATTGCTACTAAGTTTCCAGTTGAGAGAGGTACCGTATTCAGGATATCGCGCTGGTGATCGAGGTAAGCTTGTACCCCTGTATGGTCGGGCTAATTATTCCTCCGTCGGTTCGTCCGAGTAGCGGAGCGGAGGAATAGCAGTAGTATCTAAGTATCATCACCTTCTCCATCTTCTTCACCCATTGAGCCAACTGGCTAAATGATTACTTCTTGTTGAGCGGATCAGCGGTTGGCAAAGTGTATTTTCGAATGGGTCGCTGATAAGATGTGATTAGATAAGGTGGTCACCGCATTCCTAATCTTGCATATTGCTGCAACACCAACCCCTCAGTGTATACGTCGCCCCACGGCGGGAAGCGACAACGTTACTATGATCGGCTGCTTCATGTATTAAACGTAAATATACAAATCGGCATAAATTTGTTCCTCTCCAATGAAACTTATTTAGGGGCTCTCGATGCTGGTTTGTCGAGCGTCCGGTCCCGAAGAAACGGCCGATTTTGGCCCCCAATGCTGACCGCGGAGCTGTACTCAGAGCATACAGTACGCGGGTTCGTCACTGCAAGAGATGAACAGTGATGGCTTTGGGAGAATTGGCTCCGAATCAAGGCGCAAACTTCATATTGACCTGTTCTAGGGCCTCCCTCTGCCAGCGCTCTATACCAGACGATTGGTTTTCCGCTCTCAAGGCTGAAGCATGTACCCCAAGCCACTGGCGATTATGGTTGGACAAAATCTCAGCCTCATGCAATGCAACCTCAGCACAGCCTTGCCCAAACTTCTCCGCAAGCTTCGCAAGGCTTTGCGACGGCCTTGTTTCTTCCACCTTCATGAACCTCTTCCTCATGCCAGCTCCGCCGTATCATATACTGTCAGGATAGCAGTCGCCGTCAGTCATGCCCAGCAAAGACCTCCGCCTTCTCGCCCTCGACGGCGGCGGCATCCGCGGCTTGTCGTCGCTCATGATCCTCGAGCAGCTTATGCAGACCATCGACCCGGACTCGCCGCCGAAGCCTTGCGAATATTTCGACATGATTGGGGGCACGAGCACCGGCGGGTGAGTTGATATCAGAATCGTACACAGCTAACGCTGACGGTATAATTGTTCAGGCTTATTGCGATCATGCTTGGCCGGCTGCGCATGGGCATCAACGAGTGCATCGACGCTTACCTTTCCCTGTCAGACAGGGTCTTTCGGAAGAAGAGGCACCGTGTAACAATGAAGGGCCAGATTCAAGGCAGATTTGATTCGGACGAGCTGGCGAGGGCCGTCAAAGAGATCGTTAAAAGGCAGGGCCTGCAGGAGGACGCGCTGTTGAAAGACGCGCCGGATGCAAGCTGTAAAGTGTAAGTTTCAACCCTGGCCACGCTTCGGGCTCGAGCTGACCGTGGGGACGTAGCTTTGTGTGCGCAACAAGCAAAGAGACCAGCGAGACTGTCTGCCTCACCAGCTACAAATCACCGCGTGGCGGGGACGATCTTCTGAATACCGCAAAGATATGGGAAGCCTGCCGCGCCACATCAGCTGCGTCCTCGTTCTTCGATCCCATCTCGATTGGGCGGTACGGCGAAGAATTCATCGACGGTGCTACAGGGGCCAACAACCCAGCTTTTGTACTTTGGAACCAAGCTCAGGACATCTGGGGACCTGAGCCGCTTGAGAGGAACACTAAATGTCTTGTGTCCATCGGCACCGGGATTCCGTCTCTGAAGCCCTTTCGGGACGACGTCTTCCATATCGGCGAGACGCTCATCGCGATTTCCACGGAGACGGAACAAACCGCAGAAAGGTTCCGCCGAGACAAGTCGCACCTGGATACCAATGGTCTGTATTACCGGTTCAACGTAGTTCGTGGGCTGGAAGACGTCGGTCTGGAAGAGTCAAAGAAGAGGAAAGAGATTGCTGCCGCCACTCGGCGCTATGTCACATCCCAAGACGTGTTCAAGCAAATGCAGACATGCGGAAACAACCTTTCGGGGAGAGAATGTTAGTCTCAAGATGCTCAGTTCAGGCGCAAGTTGTTGCTTGTAGCTAATTCCTTTTCAAGACTTCGGACACTATCAAACGCCCTTCAGCTTGCACGGTGTACCCATTGTGCACGAGTTTGTTGACCGACCGTCAGATATGGCTGAGATCGAGCGAGCTCTTCTGCCTGGGAGACATCATCGCCGAAAAAAGATCTTCATCGTCCATGGCCTTGGCGGTATGGGCAAGACGCAGCTCGCAGTGAAGTTTGCCAGAAAGCATCACCCGAGATTCAGCTCTGTGTTCTGGCTCGATGGACAAACTGAGAACAGTCTGAAGCAAAGTATTGCTAATTCTGCAAGCAGGGTTCCGGAAGGCCAGATAGCGGAGGCAAGTCGATCATACTCGACGAGCGGCGACGGCGATATTAACGCAGTTGTCAAAAACGTGTTGGGGTGGCTGACCAATCCGGACAACACTGAGTGGCTATTGATCTTCGACAATGTCGACCGAGACCATCAACAGCGCGATGCTGATCCTAATGCATACGATGTCACACACTACTTCCCTGGAGCCGATCATGGGTCAATTCTGGTCACAACCCGTCTTGCCTACCTGGAACAGCTTGGTGCATCGCGGGGGCTGAAAACCGTTGACGTGCATCAAGCACACGCCATATTCCAGAGTCGGTACGGAAGAAGTGTTGGTAAGGCCGCATACGTGCTCCATTCACCGAAGAGAATTGCGCGCACGCACCATGATACTGACGATCTCTCTACAGATCAGGCGAAGAGCGAAGAGCTGTTGAGCCTACTCGACGGCCTGCCGCTAGCACTTGCACAGGCCGCTTCGTACCTGCGAGAGACCGGTATTGACTTTGCAACATACATCAAGTTCTACAAGCAACAGTGGAAAGACCTCATGGAATCACGAGGCCATGCCGGTACGCCACTTCACGACTACCCCAACCGCAGCGTCTGGACCACGTGGACTATCTCCTTCAATTCAATCCGGACGAAAAATGAGGCCGCCGTAAACTTACTACTGCTTTGGGCTCACCTTGACAACAAAGATCTATGGCACGGTCTTTTTGCGGGTGCATGGCAGAGAATAACTGATTTCGCAGATGAAGATTCTGCAGAGTATGTGCCAAAATGGCTCCGATGCATGGCGAGCAACGAACTCAAATTCATCGAGTCTATCCAGCTATTGCGCAACTACTCCCTGATCGAGGACATGGAAGGCCTACCCAGCTATGCCACTCATCCTGTCGTCCATAGGTGGGCATTGTACTCGCAAGATGAAGACACACGAGTAATTCTAGCTCGACTGGCGGTGATCGTCGTAGGGTGGGCCCTGCCAAACACTGTCACCAAGGAGTACCCGGCTATGCAGCGTCGACTCTCCACTCACGCTCAGTGGTGCTTGCAATGGATTCCAATGAGCGTAACAAACAGAAGCGACCGGAGGGGCGATACGTGTAGCCTGATGAGAGTGGAAGTGAAGCATGCGGGATTGATATTGAATGCACTCAACGAACTTGGTATTCTTTCCTGGTATCAGGGCAAGCTGGTCGAGGGCGAAAACATTTTGCAATACGCATTACAAGAAAGCGAGCTAGCATTCTGCCCAGAGTATGAACTCACAATAAGGATAGTTGACACTCTGGGTATAGTCTATGCAGAACAGGGCAAACTAGCCGAGGCCGAATTAATGCATCAGCGCGCACTACAAGGAAGGGAGAAGGCTCTCGGTCCAGAGCATAGAGACACGCTTGGCACGGTTAGTAACCTGGGAGTGCTCTATAAGGATCAAGGTAAACTCGCTGAGGCCGA